TTCCAAATCATTCTTATACCCACTAATAATACCTATGTCATTAGCATAAATCCCCTCATTATCAGTACACTGGCCTCAAGAGGGAAAGCAGGATCATTGTCATTTACTAGTAGATTCGTTTGAGATGTGGTACGGATTACTTGAATGGTTCGTGACCATCTCTTCACATAAGTGTTTGTAAATGTGCAGGGCATACTCGAAGAAAGATTAAATAGATTGGGAGTCTTATTTCCTCCTTGTTGCACTCCTGATGAGGTTTAAAACGTTTCGGTATCAGGGCCCTCGTCAGACATGTAAGATTTTGTAGACTAATACAGTTCCTCTATTAGATCGATTCATTTAGTGGATTCAGAGCTTGGAAGGCGGTTTCTAATGCATGAGAATAAGAAGTCTCTATTGATGTGGTCATAGACTGCTATGAGGTCGACAAAACAGACATAAAGTTCCCTATTAGACATAAAAGCAATTTCCTGGGCTTGTTTGATGGCATATATGCCATCATTGTATCCCTTTCCAGAATGAAAAACAAGCAGGGTCGTAAGAAGCTAACTTTCATAAAACGATGAGAGCCTAGTTAATATAATGTTCATTAATAATTTCATCATAATGAATCCATTTAAGATACTTCTGTATGTTTGAGGGTCTGGAGGTCTACTGTTTTGTTTCCATAATGCCTTAATGTGTGATAAACCCCACTTTTTGGGGATGCAGTTTCGATTCCAGACTTCTTTTATAATATAGCAAATCTTGTTATTGAATTCGGGGAAAAAGTAAGCTATTTTCAAAAGTTTGGTCTCAATGTCAAGTGATGCTTTATTATTCCTTAGTTTTTAAATAGATTTCTTTATTTCCTCATCACTAGGTTCAGTATCGTTTAAGTTTGGAGACGGACTTTGTAATGATTAAATGTATATGTATAATTATATGTATAATATATCTATTGGTATATTTTGGCGGGCATCTTAAGCTTATGGCGTCACGAAGATATCGGGCTTTTTCGTTTCCGATGTTAGATTGGCAGCTCCCATGTTAATAATCTCGATACATTGAAAAGTAAAGCGAGAATGCTCGAAGATTATTTTAGGTCATCTTCCATTTATGCTTCATAAATATATTTATATATATAAAAAAAAATCCTCGCTAGTAAATGGAGAAGAATTTTATTAACTTTATATCAGTCATATGACAACTGAGAAAACACTAAAATTGTAAGCCTGGCCACAACGAAACCTGTCAAATGTGTTATGAACCTTTTTGCATGGCCAACGTCCATCTAGCACAATAGGGTAGACTGTGTGTCCATAGACAGTGCAGTGATGACACGGTATCGTTAAGTCTTACTAAACTGAAGTCAACTCTCAGGGCAAAGAGTTATTCAGCAGAATCAAAGGTCACTTTTTGGTGACCATACCGAGCCATCAAGTTGGAGGCGATCAGTCCTGGTTTGAAATGGAGAGAAATGTGTTCCACTACGTCTGATCTCGTGAATTTGAAGATCTAGATAGATTTGTCCTCGTTCTAAAATATAAAAGGATATTCAAATATGTTTATTTTTCACTCCAAAATTAAAATTTATCTAATAAAGGTCCTCAGTCAGATGATTTGAAAAGAAGACGTTTCAAAATCGCCTATACTCTTAATAAACCGTTCAGATGTTAAAAAAATACATGAACTATTCTGCATTTTACTGATTACGTATATATTTTAGTGATTACGTATATATTGGGACAAAAAGATATAGTGGCAAATAAAAATGAAAGGAACAATCTTTAAGTGAAACGAGCAAAACTAAGACTGAACTAATACAAGTTATGTCTCCTTGCCTTTGACTATTGAATAAGAACAGCCTACTCTAGTGGATTGAATAAAGGGTTTATCTGTCTATATTTCTTAGATGAGGTATTGTAACTATTTACACTATTTGCATTGTTCGGACTATTGTCCTCATCTTCACTGTCATATTTACGACGTTTCGGCCGTTGTACGCTCCGGTCTTCTTCAGGATCTGTCTATATTTGTTAGATGAGGTATTGTAACTATTTACACTATTTACATTGTTCGGACTAGTGTCTTCATCTTTATATTCACGACGTTTCGGCCGTTGTACGTTCCGGCTTTCTTCAGGTGATAAGTTGGAATTTCGAACCCAAACCTTTATACTCCGGTGGACAAAATAAACGGTTCGGTTCGAATACGATAGACTTCTGAAGATATTTGTAGAATACAACGACGTAACTAATGTGACTGTAACAACCAAGATGAAGACATCAGTTCGAATAAATCAGTGTATAATTATTGCGCGATGTTATGAAAATATTAAAGCATGAAAAAAATAACGCGCCATAATCCATTACGGAGCTACATGTATGAGTCAAGATATAGTTAAGAATATGCAACATGCTGACTCCATTTCTCATAGGTATAGCTAAGATTTCTTAACAAATGCAAGGAAGCTCTACTGTTGCAAATGTAATCCAGTCAATATGATATGGATCCTGAATGAAATGAATAATATGATAAATACATAATTTCTTTTGTGATTGTCACCACCAGAAATTGTTTTCCTTGTCGATGTTTCCGTCAACATGGTAGATTCCAATGACAGGCATGGAAATGAGCGGAAAGAATTTTCTGAAAAAAAAACCTTTCGAGCAAACTCCGACTTGATAACGGTCAAAAAAAAAAAATCAAAATTAACAACTGGAGACGACGGGAAGAAAACGACTCCCCCCCAAAAAAAACACAATAATATTTGGCATTATTCTGATTGAATTAACTGTCGCAAGACACACATTATCAAAACTCGTGATGAAATTAAATGCGAGATGGAAGCCATAACTTTAGTCATTTTGGATGATTTAAAAAAGTGAGGCCGACATTTTGGATTTGCGAATATCACGAGATGGTAATCGGCGGGCTGAGTCCAAACCATGGCATTCTATACTACCGACATATACATGGCGAAACTAAGGACCTATTTCGAAATTTCAGAAAAGTTAAAAGTGAAATGGCTTTTTCATTAATTTTTTAGGATAAAAATATATTTGATTTTAGTTTATGTTGTTTCGATGATGAATTAAACTAAAATTTCAACATAATTTTAAAAAAATACATTTTAGAAAGAAAAACACAAATTAATCATAAAAGTAGAGACAAATAAAGAGTACAATGGGTAAATTATCGCCATTTTATATCTTTAATTTTGCGCATGCGCATTGTTTGTTCTTAATTTTGTCAACTACACAGTAGAGTCAGTTGGGCACCGTCTGTGAGAAAAAGAGCACCATGACGCAATTCACAGAAATTTGGAAACGTCTTACTTGGCATTTGCACCGGAAGATCCAATACTGATATTTCAGAGTGTTTGGGTGTCAATCTGAGGATAGTGCAGGGGATTCGGAAAGAGTTGGATAAGTCTAATGGAGATTATAAAGGTTTTGGAGTGATCACGAGTGACAGCGTCGTTATGCCTCCATTCATCCTCCCTCAAAGGCTCAGACTCAACACGGATGCCTACATCAAGTACCTTGAGGAGGTAGTGCTGTCCTGGGTCAAAAGGGCAACAAGGCTCTGGACCATGCCGCACAAGCAGGAGAACCCAGTCATGGGATGTCAGACAATTTCTGTGACCATATCACTCCTTACATCTGGTCACCTAACTTCCAAGCCTGCATCCCTTGATTATTATGAGTAATGCACAGTTGAGCGAGAGACTAACAAAACTCTTTGTAATACGAAAGATGAACTGAAGGCAAGGATCATAGCTCCATTCACCAACTTAAACAAGAAGAGCGTCCAGAAGAGATGCAGGAGATTCTGAAGTCGTCTGTAGCTAATAGTGATTTTATTGAATAAATTTACTCTTTAGTATTTCAAGATATTTTTGTGTAATTTTGGTAAATATATCTGTTATAATGAGATGTCAGTGTTATCTTCCTTTCTGCGTCATTTAGACGACAATTTATCCATCGTACTCTGTACTGAATTAACTTAATGTGACAAATAATGGCATTGTTAAACAAATTTCGCAATGTAAAAACAGAATCGAGGAAAAAAAATTAAATTTAAATAAAAAAAAAATGTCAAATAAAATTACAAGTGACGAAGTTACATGTTTTATTGTTTTTAGTAATGAGCATGAAATAATATGGAAAGTTCGAAGGAAATAAAAGAAATACATTTTATAATTATTTCAATTAAATAAGTTTCTTTGAGTTTCTTTCGTCGATTACAACAATGAACTACCGTAAACTCAAACTGAAACTAAAATGCATTGCTCCTAGTGGAACGAAGACCTTTTGATGTAGACCTCCAGTTCTGGCCACTAGTTGCAACTGGTGTAGTATCGAACGGCAAAATAAAAAAAAAAATAAAAAATAGAATCAACGAAAAAATCAAATGAATGAATAAAGGAAAGAATGAAATAAACATACCAAAAGTAATAAGGAAAGAAAAAATAAAAAAATCAAAATGAAAAAAGCGCCCAAAGAAAGAATCAAAAGAAAGAATGAAAGAAACGCTGAAAAAAGAATGAAAGAACAAATCAAAAGAATTTATGAAAGTAAGAATAAAAATAAAGAATAAAAGAATTAAAAGAATGAATGAAAGAATTAAAAGAAAGAATGAAAGAAACGCTGAAAAAAGAATGAAAGAACAAATCAAAAGAATTTATGAAAGTAAGAATAAAAATAAAGAATAAAAGAATAAAAATAAAGAATGAAAGAATTAAAAGTAAGAATGAAAGAAACGCTGAAAAAAGAATGAAAGAACAAATCAAAAGAATTTATGAAAGTAAGAATAAAAATAAAGAATAAAAAAAAATAAAAGAATGAATGAAAGAATTAAAAGAAAGAATGAAAAGAAACGCTGAAAAAAGATGAAAGAACAAATCAAAAGAATTTATGAAAGTAAGAATAAAAATAAAGAATAAAATAAATAATGAAAAGAATTAAAAAAAAAGAATGAAAAAAGAAACGCTGAAAAAAGAATGAAAGAACAAATCAAAAGAATTTATGAAAGTAAGAATAAAAATAAAGAATAAAAGAATTAAAAGAATGAATGAAAGAATTAAAAGAAAGAATGAAAGAAACGCTGAAAAAAGAATGAAAGAACAAATCAAAAGAATTTATGAAAGTAAGAATAAAAATAAAGAATAAAAGAATAAAAATAAATAATGAAAGAATTAAAAGAAAGAATGAAAGAAACGCTGAAAAAAGAATGAAAGAACAAATCAAAAGAATTTATGAAAGTAAGAATAAAAATAAAGAATAAAAGAATTAAAAGAATGAATGAAAGAATTAAAAGAAAGAATGAAAGAAACGCTGAAAAAAGAATGAAAGAACAAATCAAAAGAATTTATGAAAGTAAGAATAAAAAATAAAAATAAAAAAGAATTAAAAGAATGAATGAAAGAATTAAAAAGAAAGAATGAAAGAAACGCTGAAAAAAAGAATGAAAGAACAAATCAAAAGAATTTATGAAAGTAAGAATAAAAATAAAGAATAAAAAGAATTAAAAGAATGAATGAAAAATAAAAAGAAAGAATGAAAAGAAACGCTGAAAAAAAAAAATGAAAAGAACAAATCAAAAGAATTTATGAAAGAATAAAAATAAAGAATAAAAAGAATTAAAAAAGAATGAATGAAAGAATTAAAAAAAAGAATGAAAAGAAACGCTGAAAAAAGAATGAAAGAACAAATCAAAAAGAATTTATGAAAGTAAGAATAAAAAAAAAGAATAAAAAGAATTAAAAAAAATGAATGAAAGAATTAAAAGAAATAATGAAAAAAAAGGCTGAAAAAAGAATGAAAGAACAAATCAAAAGAATTTATGAAAGTAAGAATAAAAATAAAGAATAAAAAAAATAAAAATAAATAATGAAAGAATTAAAAGAAAGAATGAAAAGAAACGCTGAAAAAAGAATGAAAGAACAAATCAAAAGAATTTATGAAAAAAAATAAGAATAAAAATAAAGAATAAAAAAGAATTAAAAGAATGAATGAAAGAATTAAAAAAAAAGAATGAAAGAAACGCTGAAAAAAAATGAAAGAACAAATCAAAAGAATTTATGAAAGTAAGAATAAAAATAAAAGAATAAAAAAATAAAAATAAATAATGAAAGAATTAAAAGAAAAAAAAAAAATAAACGCTGAAAAAAAAAAGAACAAATCAAAAGAATTTATGAAAAAAAGAATAAAAATAAAGAATAAAAATTAAAAAAAAATGAAAGAATTAAAAGAAAGAATGAAAAAAACGCTGAAAAAGAATAAAAGAACAAAAAAAGAATTTAAAAATTTGAAATAAAAATAAAGAATAAAAAATAAAAATGAATGAAAGAATTAAAAAAGAAAGAATGAAAAAAACGCTGAAAAAGAATGAAAGAACAAATCAAAAAATTTAAAAAGTAAGAATAAAAATAAAGAATAAAAAGAATTAAAAGAATGAATGAAAGAATTAAAAGAAAGAATGAAAAAAACGCTGAAAAAATGAAAAAGAACAAATCAAAAGAATTTATGAAAGTAAGAATAAAAATAAAGAAATAAAGAATTAAAGAATGAATGAAAAATTAAAAAGAAAGAATGAAAGAAACGCTGAAAAAAAGAATGAAAGAACAAATCAAAAACTTAACCTAATTTAAAATTCTTCTTAAAAATAAAAATAAAGAATAAAAAAAATTAAAAGAATGAATGAAAGAATTAAAAAAAAAGAATGAAAAAAAAAAATAAAAAAAAAAATAATGAAAAAATAAAATAAAAATCAAAAAAAGAATTTTAAAAATGAAAGTAAGAATAAAAAATAAAAAGAATAAAAGAATTAAAAGAATGAATGAAAAATAAAAATTAAAAAATAAAAAAGAATAAAAAGAAAAAAAAAAAAAAAAATGAAAGAACAAATCAAAAAGAATTTAAAAATGAAAGTAAGAATAAAAAAAAAAGAATAAAAGAATTAAAAGAATGAATGAAAAATTAAAAGAAAGAATGAAAAAAACGCTGAAAAAAATTTGAAAGAACAAATCAAAAGAATTTATGAAAGTAAGAATAAAAATAAAGAATAAAAAAAATTAAAAGAATGAATGAAAGAATTAAAAGAAAAAAATGAAAGAAACGCTGAAAAAAGAATGAAAAACAAATCAAAAGAATTTATGAAAGTAAAAATAAAATAAAGAATAAAAAAAAAGAATTAAAAGAATGAATGAAAAAGAATTAAAAAAAAAATGAAAGAAAACGCTGAAAAAAGAATGAAAGAACAAATCAAAAGAATTTATGAAAGTAAGAATAAAAATAAAGAATAAAAAAAAAAAAAAAAAGAATGAAAGAATTAAAAGAAAAAATGAAAAAACGCTGAAAAAAAAATGAAAGAACAAAAAAAAGAATTTATGAAAGTAAGAATAAAAAATAAAAGAATAAAAGAATTAAAAAATGAATGAAAAAAATTAAAAAAAGAATGAAAGAAACGCTGAAAAAAAAGAATGAAAGAACAAATCAAAAGAATTTATGAAAGTAAGAATAAAAAAAAAAAATAAAAAAAATTAAAAGAAAAGATGAAAGAATTAAAAAGAAAGAATGAAAGAAAAAATAAAAAAAAAAGAATGAAAGAACAAATCAAAAACCTAATTTATGAAAAAGAGAAAAAAATAAAAAATAAAAAATAATTAAAAGAATGAATGAAAGAATTAAAAAAGAATGAAAAAAACGCTGAAAAAAAAATGAAAGAACAAATCAAAAGAATTTAAAGTGAAAGTAAGAATAAAAATAAAGAATAAAAAAGAATTAAAAGAATGAATGAAAGAATTAAAAAATAAAAAAGAATGAAAAAAACGCTGAAAAAATGATGAAAGAACAAAAAATAAAAAATAATTTAAAAAAGAAAAAAAAAATAAAAAAAAATAAAGAATAAAAGGATTAAAAAAAAAGAATGAATGAAAAAATTAAAAGAAAGAATGAAAAGAAAAAAAAATAAAAGAATGAAAAAAAGAACAAATCAAAAGAATTTATAAAAAATAAGAATAAAAATAAAGAATAAAAAAGAATTAAAAAGAATGAATGAAAGAATTAAAAGAAAAAATGAAAGAAACGCTGAAAAAAAGAATGAAAGAACAAAATCAAAAGAATTTATTCTTAAAAAATAAAAAAATAAAGAATAAAAGAATTAAAAGAATGAATGAAAGAATTAAAAGAAAGAATGAAAGAAAAAAAAAAAAATGAAAAGAACAAATCAAAAGAATTTATGAAAGTAAGAATAAAAATAAAGAATAAAAGAATTAAAAGAATGAATGAAAGAATTAAAAGAAAGAATGAAAGAAACGCTGAAAAAAGAATGAAAGAACAAATCAAAAAAATTTATGAAAAAGAATAAAAAAAAAAGAATAAAAAATAAAAAGAATGAATGAAAGAATTAAAAAAAAAGAATGAAAGAAACGCTGAAAAAAGAATGAAAGAACAAATCAAAAGAATTTATGAAAGTAAAAATAAAAATAAAAATGAATAAAAGAAAAAAGAATGAATGAAAGAATTAAAAGAAAAAAATGAAAAAAACGCTGAAAAAAAAAATGAAAGAACAAATCAAAAAGAATTTATGAAAGTAAAAATAAAAAAAGAAAGAATAAAAGAATTAAAAGAATGAATGAAAGAATTAAAAAAAAGAATGAAAGAAACGCTGAAAAAAAAATGAAAGAACAAATCAAAAGAATTTATGAAAAAAATAAAATAAAAATAAAGAATAAAAAAATTAAAAAAATGAATGAAAGAATTAAAAAAGAAAGAATGAAAGAAAACGCTTAAAAAAAAATGAAAGAACAAATCAAAAGAATTTATGAAAGTAAGAATAAAAATAAAAAAATAAAAAAATTAAAATAAATGAATGAAAGAATTAAAAGAAAGAATGAAAGAAACGCTGAAAAAAAAATGAAAGAACAAATCAAAAGAATTTATGAAAAAAGAATAAAAATAAAGAATAAAAAAATTAAAAGAAAAATGAAAAAAGAATTAAAAGAAAGAATGAAAAAAACGCTGAAAAAAAATGAAAGAACAAATCAAAAGAATTTATGAAAGTAAGAATAAAAATAAAGAATAAAAAGAATTAAAAGAATGAATGAAAGAATTAAAAAAAAAAGAATGAAAGAAACGCTGAAAAAAAAAAAAAGAAGAACAAATCAAAAAGATTTATGAAAGTAAGAATAAAAATAAAGAATAAAAAAAGAATTAAAAGAATGAATGAAAGAATTAAAAAAAAGAATGAAAGAAACGCTGAAAAAAAAATGAAAGAACAAATCAAAAGAATTTATGAAAAAGAATAAAAATAAAAGAATAAAAAAAAATAAAAAAATAAATGAATGAAAAGAATTAAAAAAAAAAAATGAAAATAAAAGAATAACTGAAAAAAGAATGAAAGAACAAATCAAAAGAATTTATGAAAAAATAAGAATAAAAATAAAGAATAAAAGAATTAAAAGAATGAATGAAAGAATTAAAAAGAAAGAATGAAAAATAAAAACGCTGAAAAAAACTAATGAAAGAACAAATCAAAAGAATTTATGAAAGTAAGAATAAAAAAAAAGAATAAAAGAATTAAAAAAAATGAATGAAAAAAATAAAAAAAAGAATGAAAAAAAACGCTGAAAAAAAAATGAAAGAACAAATCAAAAAAAATAAAGAATAAAAAAAAAAGAATAAAAAATTAAAAAGAATGAATGAAAGAATTAAAAAAAAAAAATGAAAAAAAACGCTGAAAAAAAAAATGAAAGAACAAATCAAAAGAATTTATGAAAAAATAAATAAAAATAAAAGAATAAAAAAATTAAAAAAAGAATAAAAAAGAATTAAAAAAAAAAAATGAAAAAACGCTGAAAAAGAAAAAAGAACAAATCAAAAGAATTTATGAAAGTAAGAATAAAAATAAAGAATAAAAAAATTAAAAAGAATGAATGAAAGAATTAAAAGAAAGAATGAAAGAAACGCTGAAAAAAAAATGAAAAATAAAAAAAAGACAAAAACCTATTTTGAAAGAATAAAAATAAAAAATAAAAAAAATTAAAAGAATGAATGAAAAAAAAGAAAGAAAGAATGAAAGAAACGCTGAAAAAAGAATGAAAGAACAAATCAAAAGAATTTAAAAAAAAAGAATAAAAAAAAAAAGAATAAAAGAATAAAAAAAAAAGAATGAAAAAATTAAAAGAAAGAATGAAAGAAACGCTGAAAAAAAATGAAAGAACAAATCAAAAGAATTTATGAAAGTAAGAATAAAAAAAAAATAAAACATTTAAAAAAGAATGAAAAAAAGAATTAAAAAGAAAGAATGAAAAAAAAAATAAAAAAAATATAAAAAAAAAGAAAAAAGAAAAAAATTTGAAATCAAAAGAATTTATGAAAAAATAAAATAAAAAAAAAGAATAAAAAAATTTGAAAGAATGAATGAAAAAAGAATTAAAAAAAGAATGAATTCTTAAAAAAAAAAAAAAAAAGAATGAAAAAAATGAAAGAACAAATCAAAAGAATTTATGAAAGTAAGAATAAAAATAAAGAATAAAAAAAAAAAGACAAAACCCTAAGAATGAAAGAATTAAAAAAAAAATGAAAGAAACGCTGAAAAAAAAAATGAAAGAACAAATCAAAAGAATTTATGAAAGTAAGAATAAAAAATAAAGAATAAAAGAATTAAAAAGAATGAATGAAAGAATTAAAAGAAAGAATGAAAGAAAACGCTGAAAAAAGAATGAAAGAACAAATATAAAGAAATTATGAAAAAAGAATAAAAAATAAAGAATAAAAGAATTAAAAGAATGAATGAAAAAATTAAAAATAAAAAGAATAAAAAAAACACTAACCTGAAAAAAGAATGAAAGAACAAATCAAAAGAATTTATGAAAAAGAATAAAAATAAAATAAAAATAAAAGAATTAAAAGAATGAATGAAAAAATTAAAAAAAGAATGAAAAAACGCTGAAAAAAAGAATGAAAGAACAAATCAAAAGAATTTAAAATAAAGTAAGAATAAAAATAAAAATAAATAATTTGAAATTAAAAGAATGAATGAAAAATTAAAAATAAAGAATGAAAGAAACGCTGAAAAAAAAATGAAAGAACAAATCAAAAGAATTTATGAAAGTAAGAAAAAAAAAAATAAAGAATAAAAGAATTAAAAGAATGAATGAAAGAATTAAAAAAAAGAATGAAAGAAACGCTGAAAAAAATGAAAAAAACAAATCAAAAGAATTTATGAAAGTAAGAATAAAAATAAAGAATAAAAAATTAAAAAGAATGAATGAAAGAATTAAAAAGAAAGAATGAAAAAAAACGCTGAAAAAAAGAATGAAAGAACAAATCAAAAAGAATTTATGAAAGTAAGAATAAAAATAAAAAATAAAAAAAATAATTAAAAGAATGAATGAAAGAATTAAAAGAAAGAATGAAAAAAAATGAAAAAAGAATGAAAGAACAAATCAAAAGAATTTATGAAAGTAAGAATAAAAAATAAAGAATAAAAAGAAAAAAGAATGAATGAAAAGAATTAAAAGAAAGAATGAAAAAAAAAAAAAAAAAAGAATGAAAGAACAAATCAAAAGAAATTTCTTCTTAAAGTAAGAATAAAAATAAAGAATAAAAAAATAAAAATAAATAATGAAAGAAGTAAAAAAAAGAAATGAAAGAAACGCTGAAAAAAAAATGAAAGAACAAATCAAAAGAATTTATGAAAGTAAGAATAAAAATAAAGAATAAAAAAAAAAGAATTAAAAGAATGAATGAAAGAATTAAAAGAAAGAATGAAAAAAACGCTGAAAAAAAGAATGAAAGAACAAATCAAAAGAATTTGTGAAAGTAAGAATAAAAATAAAAATAAAAAATAATTAAAAAAATGAATGAAAGAATTAAAAGAAAGAATGAAAGAAACGCTGAAAAAAAAAAAATGAAAGAACAAATCAAAAGAATTTATGAAAGTAAGAATAAAATAAAGAATAAAAGAATTAAAAAAAAAAAATGAAAGAATTAAAAGAAAGAATGAAAGAAACGCTGAAAAAAAATGAAAGAACAAATCAAAAGAAATTATGAAAAAAGAATAAAAAAAAAGAATAAAAGAATAAAAATAAAAGAATGAAAGAATTAAAAAAAAAGAATGAAAAAACGCTGAAAAAAAGAATGAAAGAACAAATCAAAAGAATTTATGAAAGTAAGAATAAAAATAAAGAATAAAAGATTTAAAAGAATGAATGAAAGAATTAAAAGAAAGAATGAAAAAACGCTGAAAAAAGAATGAAAGAACAAATCAAAAGAATTTATGAAAGTAAGAATAAAAATAAAGAATAAAGGAATAAAAATAAATAATGAAAGAAGTAAAAGAAAGAATGAAAGAAACGCTGAAAAAAAATGAAAGAACAAATCAAAAGAATTTATGAAAGTAAGAATAAAAATAAAGAATAAAAAATTAAAAAAATGAATGAAAGAATTAAAAAAAGAATGAAAGAAACGCTGAAAAAAAGAATGAAAGAACAAATCAAAAGAATTTATGAAAATAAGAATAAAAATAAAATAACCAATAAAAAGAATTAAAAAAGAATGAATGAAAAATTAAAAGAAAAAAATGAAAGAAACGCTGAAAAAAAAGAATGAAAGAACAAATCAAAAAGAATTTATGAAAGAATAAAATAAAAAGAATAAAAAAAATTAAAAAGAAAGAATGAAAGAATTAAAAGAAAGAATGAAAGAAACGCTGAAAAAAGAATGAAAGAACAAATCAAAAGAATTTATGAAAAAAGAATAAAAATAAAGAATAAAAGAATAAAAATAAAGAATGAAAGAATTAAAAGAAAGAATGAAAGAAACGCTGAAAAAAGAATGAAAGAACAAATCAAAAGAATTTATGAAAGTAAGAATAAAAATAAAGAATAAAAGAATTAAAAGAATGAATGAAAGAATTAAAAGAAAGAATGAAAGAAACGCTGAAAAAAGAATGAAAGAACAAATCAAAAGAATTTATGAAAGTAAGAATAAAAATAAAGAATAAAAGAATTAAAAGAAAGAATGAAAGAAAGAATCAAATTAACAACGAAAGAATCAAAAGAATGAATGAAAAAGAATGAAAGAAAGAATCAAAAGAAAGAGTCAAAGAAAGAATGAAAAAAAATAATCACTAGAATGAATGAAAGGAAAATCAAAATAATGAATGAAAGAATTAAATTAATAATGAATGAAAGAAAAAAACATTAATTAGTCGTTTGAATGAATTGATTCTCAATCTATTCCGTGCCATGGACGACGTATTGTTATTATTATACATTGCTTCATTCGGATCAGTTTCTTGCAAATTTGTTATCTTTGGATCAACGTTTATGGACCACTTTACAGCCCGGAAGTTATTTACATTCATTTATGACGTAAATGGCGGTTACTTTGTTGATAACATTTTACATCATTCATATCAGGTCAGTCTCAGAGTGCTATTAGTAGTATTTAACCAAGTGCTAGCAGTTGCACTGTCGGGTAATAGGCGACTAGACCGGTTCCACGACCAGAAAGGGAAGATTAGGCATCCAGCAAAATTTTAAAAAAAAAACCCCAAAAAACAAGACCTGTTAAAGGGGGCATGAATCTTTTTACATGGTCAACAAACATCTAGCACATGTGGGTAGACTGTGTGTCCATAGTTATGTATGCGATCAGAGCAGTGATGACACTCTATTGTAGGATTGAAGTCAGTGGCTAGGGCGGAGGGTTCTAACGGTGGAATCAAAGGTCGTTAAAAAATTATTATCTAAAAAAAAAAAAAAATCTTAAAATCTAAAAATATTTTCTGTTATATTGGAACTAGCAGCATGGACCGGCGTTGCCCGTGCTTGATTCAAAAATCGTACGACTCATACAGCAATCGCTATCACTTGACTTAAAATATTTTTGCCCTTCCTTACCTTTAAAGGAGTGCCCTTTACCGTGCTGATGTTGCTACATGTCTTACTTCTTGCCTATCTCACACTGCGAATTTTTTCTAAGCTCTATACTAAACATTAAATCTGTTACGCAAATAGAACTAAACAAAATGAACACAAAACGATCAGCTTTAAAAAAGGACTCGTAACAGGAAAAACCAAATGAAAAAAGAATGTTAACAACAAATACTTTTTCACACCAAACCCACTTCTGCGGAATCAGAATCAACGTTGAGTTTAAGCAAGCGAATGAGCCAATTGGAGTAAAGTGCCATGCAGATTAAAATTTTTCCCACTCGTGACGAATGCAGCTATCGATTTTTTGCATGCTAGCATGCAAGTTAACATTCGTGTCAGTCAGCTGTTGGCTCTCACGCTGGCCAATATAATCTTCCTGCCTATTCGTGGAAGCCAGCTATAAGGCTTTCACTCTGGCCAGTAGAAAATGTCAGCAAACTACATGAAAACTGCCGTAGAAGCATGAAAAAATTGATTATTTCCACTATCGATGGGAATTGGGAAATGCAAAGTCAGTCTTGGCCATCCCACTAACTTGGAGCATGTGCATGTAAATTTTGATGCAAATGCGTCGAAAATTGCGGCCGTGCATTCGTTACACACACACACACACACACACACACACACACACACACACACACTCATCCTGCCTTTTATAGATAGAGATAATGTATACCTGCCGAAACACGAGTTTGAACATAGATCACCAGTGAGCAAACACAGTCGATTCCATTATTGAATTAAGTAGGTCACGTGACCACAGAGAAACGCATAAGTAGGTGGTAGCTTGGCGTCTAATTGATCGCTATTTCTAGTCTATCCTCTGTACGGTTTCACGCTTTCTAGTGTATCTTCTATTACAATACGGACCGCTAATCTCTATACTATTTCTGTATATGGATTACTATTCGGTGGTTACTTTCCGAGTGAGTATTATCGAGCAAGTACTATTAGTACGAGAGTTATTCCAAGGCGTCTGACACGCGCATTTGTTCACCGGCATTACTATAGTTGTATCTGGGAAAGCTCTGCTACACGAGCATTACGAAAGTCACAACGAGTATTCGTTGACATTACAAAAGTGTCAACGAGTGTTCGTTGGCATCACAAAATTTTCTAGAATTTAAATAACCTGCAAAACCATTAAAAACAAAACCAATCAATCAATTCTCCTTCAAGCAAGGGTTAAATAATTGGAGATAACTCTGGGCTAAGTTTTTTTAAAAACACCCACTGCGGTTTTTTTTCAGGACCGGTAGTCTTCGTAGAATCAAGTCTTTTGAATAATGTGTAAACTTTGTGAGGTGGTAGAGATATTACAAACTTGGTGTGGACAATTCTGAACGGGGCATGGGTTCTACTACACCGTTTCCTACGATGAAGATATTAGTAGTAATTACGGTGAACTATAGTAGCAGTACATTCTGTTGCTTCAAGTGTCTCCTTCATCTTGTCCAGGATTCGCTGGCATTATCCCACGTCGAAATCCTTACCCAGCTTGGCAATTAGGTGCTGAAAACGTTGATCTCACAGGTAACACCATTGACCATCAAAATAGCATCTTAATAAATCCTACATTGCTGTCTGGTGAAAATAAATAAAAACACAACAGTAATATCAAAACTTAAAACAAAAACGAACAAATAAACAAAACTGAACTCAGATATTTCGAAGAAAAAATGTAAGTTATTCTTGACAAGAGTGAAATGTAAATCCAAATTTTACAATGGCGTCCCCTTGACAAGATGGCAAATTGAAAGTTGTCAAGAAGAGAAATCTCAAGCTACTAACCACTTTCTGGCAAATCCACCTGCTGTGACTTCCGGAAAAGACAAAATAGATCGGCGACGCTTCACTTGTCTCCTCAGACACTCATCGAAGCAATTTCTTGATCAGATGCGCTGTTAAGTTTGACCGACTATTTTCCACACCAGTCTCTCTCCATTTTTTTTTTCAGCTTCTTTCATTAAGCTTCATTTTCCACTGACACCCACTTTACACCGTCACAAAACTTCTGCTTTTTTTATTTTATCTAATTCGTTTTTTTTTTACCCAAACATTATTTCCAATCAGCGCCATTTTATTTTCTTTCTGTTTTTTTTTATGTGTTCTGTGACCAAATATCCGGTTATTTTTTGAAAATTCTTTTTAAAGTTATCAAATCACTTAGCATTTTCTCTTTCGCTTTCCCTAACACACACACACACACACACACACACACACACACACGTCTGTGTGTGTATCAGTTTGTGTCACTTGTTTCAGTTCTTTTGTCCATCTGTCCTTGGTATTTTTGTCTTCATTCCGACATTTTTTTCTCAACATTTTTTTTTTTGCCTTTCCATTTTCAATGTCGTTTTTCACTTTTATCTTTTTAAACATTTATTCTATCGTTGCAGTTTGTGTTTTTTTTTTTCTTCTTCCTTCATTTCCTCCGTTTCTTCTGAAGACATTTTGATAATCGACACTGGCTAATAAACAAAGAATAAATCCACGTATTCTTTTGGGTGGTGGCGAATTCCAGAAATGCAGTAACCAAAAAGTGCAGAACGCATTTAAATTACATTAAAATAGCAAATAAATAAAGAGGAGAAAAAATAGAAAACAAAACAATCGGTTAAAAATCAGGAATGGATAACAAAAATTTCATAGAAACGTAAAGATAGCAGCAGAGAAAAGAAACAAAGAAATAATTTTGAAATGCCTAAAGTATATATATATATATATATATATATATATATATATATATATATATATATTATCCAGCAGAAGTCTTAATTTTTTAGTAGCTTTTTGATGTCGCTTGTGAATTTTTGTCTTTCACGTGGATGTTAGTTGTTGCATGTATATTCTGACTATAGATAGAGGAAATTTAATTTTTGCTTTCTTTCACTCCTTCTCTCATTCTTTTTTTTCTCTCCCTCTCCCATTTTTTCTTTCTTTCGTTATTTCTTTCTTTCTTTATTTGTTCATTTATTTATTCTCTTTTTCACTTCCCTTTTTCTCATTTTAATCTTTCTTTCTTCCGTTTTTCTTTCTTTCTTTCTTTCTTTCTTTTTTCTTTCTTTCTTTCTTTCTTTCTTTCTTTCTTTCCCTCCCTGTTATCAATCAGTATTCATCTATACTCTGAATGTGGACATGAATGTTGGTGTAAATGGGAATATGAAAGGATTAGGATCAAAATAAGCAGATATAACGTTTGTAAATCATTCAATCAGACATGCCTAAAAGAAAATTTGCTGTTTAAATACACAAATACATATATGTATGTGTGTGTGCTTATATAGATGCGTGTATATATGTATATATATATATATATATATATGTGTGTGTGTGTGTGTGTGTGTGTGTGTGAGTGGGTGGGTGTGTTTAAACTCAAGGGACCAAATAGTGAATAGGGAAAATTATATTGCGTAAAAGAACGTAATAGAAGGCGAGGAGAAAAGTAAATTACAGATAATATCAATTAGAAAGAAAGCGAGAAGGAAAGTAAAAAAAAGATAGAAACAAAGAAGGATTAAGATGAAAATATAGGGAAATGAAGAAGAGAATAAATAAATGAACAAATAAAGAAATAAAGTAATAAACAAAGAAAGAAAAAAAGAAAGAAAGGGAAAGGGGGAGGGGAGAAAAAAGAAAAAGGGAGGGAGGGAAAGAATGAAAGAAAGAATGAAAGAAAGAAAGAAAGAAAGAAAAATGAAAGAAAGAAAAAAGGAAGGAAAAAAGATTAAAATGAGAAAAGAGGGAAGTGAAAAAATGAATAAATAAATGAACAAATACAGAAAGAAAGAACGAAGTAACCAAAGAAAGAAAAAAAGAAAGAGTGAGGGAGAGAAAAAAAGAAAGAGTGAGGGAGAGGAAAAAGAAAGAGTGAGGGAGAGAAAAAAAGAAAGAGTGAGGGAGAGAAAAAAAGAAAGAGTGAGGGAGAGAAAAAAAGAAAGAGGTGGAAGAAAGAAAGAAAGAAAGAAGGGTTAAAATGAGAAAAATTGAAGTGAAAA